TCCCAACTACTGAGCCATTTTGCCAGTCCCTACAAAGTGTTTTTAAAAATATTTTATTTACTATTTTTATTTTATGTTAAGTGTATTGCCAGCATATAATAAGTGCACTCATGTCACGCAACAGGTCATGTATTAAGTGCACTCATGTCATGCAGAGGACAGAAGAGGATGTCTGATCCCTGGAACTGTAGTTATGAACAATTGTTGTTAGCTGCCATGTGGGTGCTGGGAACCAAACCTGGGTCTTTTGCAAGAGCAGCCAGTGCTCTTACCACTGAGCCATCTCTCCAGTCCCTCTAGGCAGTGTTTTAAAGCAATCCTGGTTTGTCTTATCAAACCCAGGACTGGCCTTGAACTCCTAACCTTCCTGCCTTTACCCCTCAAATGCACAAGTGTGCATTCCACAATAGGCCAAGGCTATCATATGTGTGTGTGTGCACGCACACGTGCACTTTTGCTTGCTCTTAGGAATTGCAGTGTGGGGCTGGAGCAATGGCTCAGCAATTAAGATCATGAATTACTCTTGCAGAGGACCTAAAGTCTATTCCCAGCAACTCATGTGGCTCCAGGAAATCCTACACTCTCTTCTGGCATCTGTAGGTACCTGCACATGTGCACAAACCTACAGATACATATATATATATTTTTTGGTCTTTTTGAGACAGGGTCTCCCTTGAACTCAGAGATCTGCCTGCCTCTGCCACCACGCCTGGCTCTAAATCTTTTTTTTTTTTTTTCGGTCTTTTTGAGTCAGGGTCTCCCTGTATCCCTGTAGCTCCAGCTGTAGTAGTCCAGGCTAGCCTTGAACTCACAGAGATCCGCCTGCCTCTGCCGCCTCCGGAGTGCTGGGATTAAAGGTGTACACCACCATGTCTGGCTTGAAACCTTGCCCTTCCAACAGTCCTTGTCCTTGCACTCCCAATCAGAAGGCTGATTGAATCTTTTATTTTGAAACCTTTTACTACCTTCAGTGAAAGGACTCTTTGAAATGTGATTCTTGGGAGTCTTCTTTCCCCACACTTCTAATTTGTTAACACTTTAAGTCTGTATTTTAATTTTTAACTATATCTTCCATTAGAGAAGGAAGAGAGAGAAAGAAAATCTGCTGCACATTCAAGCACCTGTTAGCAGCTAACCACACCCCCCCATTTGGTCTTCTCCAGTTGTTACTCTGCAGCAGCAGAGAGAGGCTTTTCCTACAGACAACATTCACAGCACTGCAGCTTACCATTGATTTGTCCCATTACCAAGTGGCTGAGGCAAGTGCAAGGTGTAATGTCAGGTAGTGGAGACCTAAAGACCAAAAACTGTGCTCTTGATCTCAAAGGTTTGCAATCTCATAGAGAAAGAACATGGTAAAGAATTTAAGCTCTCCCAAAAAGAGGACTGGCCTTTGTCTTGGGCTCCTAAAAGGTGATCTCTAAACCCCTGGAACATCCTAATAGGGTGCTTGTTTACTTGGCATGCACACAAGTCAGAGGACTTTTGTTAGTCTGTACTCTCTTCCCACCTAGTTGAAAAAAGGTCTTATTTCTGGAGTGCAGTGTATTCCAGGTTGTCTGCCCCAAAGGCTTGGGCAGCAAGTACGTAATTATAGCTGAGCTGTCTAACCAGCCCAAGATTTTTTTGAGACAGGTTCTTCCTATGTGGTACAGGCTGGTCTCAAACTCACTAGTCCCAGCTGACTTTGGCTCTGAATCTTCCCACCTCAGTCTCCCAAATGCTGAAATTACCTTTTTGTTTTAGGGTTGGTTTAACCCTACCAATCCCCATTCTGGGGCTTGAACCTAGGGCCTACACAAGTGCTCTACCACTGAGCTACCTCTAGTCTTTTCATTATTGTTATTAATTTTTAGACAGAGCCTTACTACATTGACAAGGCTGACCTTGAACTTACCTGTATCTGCAGAAAGGCCTTGAACTTCGGACCATCCTGCCTCAGCCTTGCAAGTAGCTGGGGTACAAGCCTACACCATCAGGCACAGCATTTATTTACTCATTCATCCATTTTTTTGGAAAAAGGGCCTTGCTTTTGTTAAGGCTGGTCTGACTCCAAATTCTCATGCCTCAGCTTCCTGACTGCTGTGGTTATAGGCATGCACCATCATGCTTGGCATTAAGATACAAATTCTTGGGGCTGGAGAGATGGCTCAGCTGTTAAGAGCACTAGCTGCTCTTGCAGAGGACCTGGGTTCAGTTCCCAACACCTACATGGCAGCTAACAACCATCTATAATTCCAGTTCCAGGGAACAGAATGTTCTCTTCTGGCCTCCATTGGTACTACATGCACATAGCACACTTACATACATGCAAACACTTGTACATGTAAAATAAAAATAAAAGTCTATTTATTTATTTAACTTATTTACTTTTGGTCTTTTTGAGTCAGGGTCTCCCTGTATCCCAAGCTGGCCTTTATCTCCCTATGTAGACCAGGCTGGCCTCAAACTCACAGAGATCCACCTGCCTTTGCTTCCCAAGTGCTGGGATTAAAGGTATGTACCACCACACCCTGCTCAAAGTTTATTTATTTTTCTTTAAAGGAAACTTCATTACATTATTTTGAATTGGTGTAATTCAAGGCATAGAGAGTGAGGATACAGTATATCATGTCTGTGAGAATAAGACAGCTGGAGATCCACACTCAGGAGAGGCCTGAACAAAGGCCAAGGCCCCAAAAGATGTGGGACTTGGGGTCATTTACAATTCCAGGGCCCTCACAAGGAACTTGGATGCTGGTGCTCAGGTCAGAATGGGCTCCTAACTGCTCATCTTCTTTCACTTCTGCCATAGCTTGCGCCATATCCTCTCCAGGGCCATTTTTCCCATGAAGGTGATAGCAAAATTATACTTGTACCAGTCTCTGTTATAATACATGTGCTTCTGAAATTTTTTACTTAAAAATTCCTTATAAAAGTCAGCCATTTCTTCTGCATTCAATGTTGTTCTTTTGATCTGATTCAGTTTGAAGGCCTAAGCCTTTAGCTTGCAGTCTTGAGTGAATAAGTTCTTTTTTTTCCTTATTAAAAAGTCAAATTCTGGTTCACCTAGAACCACTGATTCCATTCTTGTGTTTCTTGTCTCAATTCTCTAAGCTTCTGTTCCAATGGCAATTCGTTTTCAAAGATGTAAAAATGAACAGGATGAAAGTTTGAATACTTATCTGGGGGTCCTATCCAATCGTAGCTTGACTGTCTTGGGACCTGGCACTGTGCAGTGTCGCCGCCAAGCTCAGGGGCCAGCAGACTGCCTCTCCATGGTCTAGGCACTCTGACTGATTGGCTGTTAAGGCAGGATCTCGAAAACTAAAAAAGTTTATTTTAAAGATACAAATTCTTAATGAGGAGCATGTGAATCACCTACCTTGAGTCATGAACCTGACAGATGGCTAAGGCAGGACAGTTACCCCACCAAGCATAATACAGAAAAAACGATTCCACAAAAAAATAGGCTGGTGTGGTGATGCATGCCTTTAGTCCCAGCACTTGAGAAGCAGAGTCAAGCAGATCTTTGTGAATATGAAACCAGCCTGGTCTACATAGCAAGTTCAAGGACAGTCAATACTACATAGTAAGATTGTTTCAAAAACCAAAAAATCACCACACAGAACCTAAATGTCCAGGGGGCCTACAGCATTCCTTAACACATGGGATTAGAGGTATGTATGACTATACCTAGCTTGTTTTGTTTTTGGATTTGCCCCTAAAACAGAACAGGAGGATAGAGCTGGGCTGAGGCTCTGAGGTTCTATCCCCTGTTCATATTGCAAATTTGACCTAAATAAAGGAAAAAGCTTATATTAGCAAATGCCTAAATTGATAGTCAGTAAGATATTACCATTGGGTGAGAGTGAAAACAGGGTTTCTTCTGACTGATTAGAGAGTAGCTTCAGCTACTGACATGAGCCTAGTTCCACTGGACATGTTGAACTAGTGTAATAAGGTTCTGCTTAACCACTGCTTCTGGCAGGATATGTTCCCAGAACTAGTCAACTCAAAGGGATGTCACAAGATCTGACCTGGATCCCTTTCAAATTTTGTCTACAGGACACTCTGTTTCTTCTAAAGGGAGATGTTCTTCTATTCAAAAAGAGAAGCCCTAGAAATGGAGAAACAGGGTGGGCTACAGATTGAGGCACAGGAACTGGGGATATACTTTCTGAACAGAGTAGAAGCTAATTGGTTAGTTTTGCACACCATGTACTTTCACAGCTGATGAAGAGTTCAGTTCACAGATCTGAAGGAATCTTGCCCCAGACCTCTTAACTCCCTTTTACTAGGAGATAAAACCTAAAATCTCCTCCCTCCAGCCTCTTCTCCCTAGCTCTCCAATCCCACTTTGTGCTTGAGCCATGCTGAACCTATTTGGTTCCAGATGAAGTTCTGCCCTGCTTTGGAGGGGTGCCACTGCATATATCACCTAACTCTTTGAGATCTGCTTTCAGGACTGCAAAGTACACGGAGCCCCTCCTTAGAGCCTCAACCCAGCTGTCATCCTCTGCAATCTCCCTCTGCTCTTCCTGTATCCCTTGTTCCTATGCTCTACGAACTTTTCTGCACTAAAGCAACCACTTCACTATGCTCTACATAGTTTAGGTTTATTTTCTCAGTGGATGGCACACTCCTCCAAGCACACCTGACAACCTACATCTCAGAGACATAGCATGAAGTTTTTATCCTGATAGGAGCTCTAACATTTCTTGAAGAAGTAAATGAACCCCATTAGCATGTTATCTCTAGTGATGTCTAAACCAAAGAAAATCACACTTGTCTTCTCAGAAGAGGGAACATATTCAAATACCAAGAATTGCAGTTCCTGGTAAGACCTTTCAGAAAATGACATTACCAACAGCAACAACTGGAAACTCAGCAGAATGTTTGAGTGCTAAAAAAAGCTGAAATGGGCCAAGAGTTGAACAGCCACGTTTTAAGTAGCTAGAGAGTAGAGGGAAAGTGAGGGAGATTCATAGCTGTCTAAAATTTAAGAATGACAAACAACCTCTTTCTTAAGATTCACATATATTTACATTGTGGACCTGGGATATACTTACCACAGCAGGAGCTAGTCCAAACAACCTGAATCCCAATTCTACCCAATCTGGACCCTTTCCCAATCTCTGAGCCAGTATTCCAAACAGGGGGCAAGCCGTTTCCAGCAGGTGTGGATTTGGAAAATATACTCTGAAATGAAGTCACCTATTGTGGTGATCACTGTCCTCCTCCCCAGTTTTCCTCCTAGGACCAGGCTCTCTCCTGTGACTTGTGAAAGAGGCTGTCCTCTTTAGTTGTCCATGAGGCTCCCAGGGTGGTCTGGGCTGTGGGAAGGACTCTTCAGCTTGGGAGTAGACAGGTGCTCCAGCTCATAGTCCCCATTCTCAGAAGCCTTGTGTGTGAGTTTCTCCTTCATACTCTCCTGGCTCCTCTTGTGCTCAATAATCTGCTGGAGCTGGTGCCCTGCATATTCTGGCTTGGTGGTGAGCGGGCCAGCTGGTACAGCTACACCAAGAATATCTGACACCATGTAAGGGCGCAGCCAGCCCACCAAGGGCGTACTTCCAGGGCTATAGTGAGTCTGCTTATGATAGAAGAGAAGTCCATCTACCTATAGGAGGGGAAATCAGGAATCATAGTAAGTTCTGGGGCCACATATTGCCAAGACAACCTATACAGAGACAACTAGTGGAAAAAAGACTTCTTGCTTCTCATGTGCAGTTTCCCAAAGAAAGGGCCTTGGGCTGGGGATGGCAGTGCACACCTATAATCCCAGCACTCCAAAGATTGAGGCAGGAAGATCTCAAGACCAAGACCTATGACCTATAGCTATGACCATGATCTATAAAGTGAAACCTTGTCTTAAAAAAAAAAGGGGGGGGGGGAAGAGGGGTGTGTGGTGGCACATGCCTTTAATCCCAGCACTTGGGAGGCAGATCTCTGTGAGTTCAAAGCCAGCCTGGTCCACATAGGAAGTTCCAGGCCAGCTGGGGCTATAGGGAGATCCTGTCTCAAAAAGACCAAAAAAAAAAAATAAAATAAAAAAAAAAGGGAGAGGGGCTGGAGAGATGGCTCAGTATTAACTCTTAACAAGCACTGGCTACTCTTGAAGAAGATTTGGGTTCAGTTCCCAGCACTCACATGGCAGCTAACAACCACGATAACTCCAGTTCCAGGGGATCCACCACCTTCTTCTGACCTCTGTGGGTACTGCATGACATGTGTGCACTTACATGCAGGCAATACACTCCTACACATCATCATCATCATCATCATCATCATGATAATATAAAAAAACCAGAAAAGGCCTAGAAGTGAAAACATAAAATAGCACTTTCCTGTTTATGGCATGCCTTCCTACCCACTGTTTAACATCTTTATCTACCCAGAAGGTCTATTTATGAGATGAGGTTACTCAGCTTAGGAAGCTCTAGGGACCTTTCTAAAACCTCAAAATATAAAGCAGGAATTCAACTCAATTCAATGTTTTCTGTCCCCAAATTCTGGGCACTTTTCACCACCCAGAAGTCTCAGTGGTGTTGGCTGAGCACCTCTCATGGAAAGAAAGCAAGAGATACTGATGGCCCCGCTGAGGCATCAGACAGAGCATAGGGACAGGGCTGTCCAGAAGCCCTGCTTCCCAAGCTATTGCTGGCTGCCCAAACCTCCCCCTAAATTGTTTGTGAGCCTTATTCTGGGAAACTCAGTTTTTCTCAACGGGAAGACCTCCTACAGTTCCTCTTCTCTTATTCAGTGACTCATCTCTAAAAAGCATTTATTGCCACTGGGATATAAGGGTTATAAATAAAGATAGTGTTCTTACCACCTTCTTAATTGACTCCCAGAAATGAAGCAACTCAGTCTTTGCCATTTCCTTATTCAGGAAGCTGTGATCCTTTACAAAATTATATCCACTTTAAGCAAATACTTGACTGTGACTAAGCAGAATTTTAAAAGAAGTGATGGGTAAAGAAAATTTTGCTTGTTAAGCCAGAAAAGGGTAACTAGGTTCTGAGAATGATGAAAGACTCAGGAGCTCCTGGAGACAGGAACCTTTCAGTGTTAATACAAGGCAAGTCTAGACACAGTGGGATAAGCTGGCTCTACCACCATGCCATGGTTCAGCAATCACTGCTATCCCAGGAACCATCTTTACTTTGAAAAAGAGGATCGGGGGTTTAAACATTTGTTGGGGTCTGTCAGCTACTGATGCCCATGCCCCTTTAATGTATAACCAGCCATGGCAGTCAAACAAGAAGCTTAGTTCTCATGCTTATGGCAAAAGAGGCATGCAATGACAACCTAGGGATAGAAGAAATCTTTGCCCTTCTCTAGGCCTCAGTTTCCCAGAGCGAGTGGATAACTGTTCAGTTCTGATTTTCTGACTTATCTAGTAGGGGTAAATTTGAAACTCTGATGGGCAGCAAGCACATCCTTTCCTTAGAGCCAATTTTCAGGCCAGTTCTGATGCCAAGACACAGCAAAACCTGAGAATTCTTACAATTCATGTACCCAAGTCTTCCTGTATCCTAAAACCATCTTAGAACAAGAGACCATGATTACCTCAAAAGGAAAATCCAAAGACAGCACCTTACACAGGCTCTCAGGCGTACAAGGGAAATTCTTTAACCCCACAAATTTAAACTGAAATATAAATCAGAACAATGATTTAAATCAGTATGTGTTACAAATGATATCAGTTCTAGCAATTCAAATAAGTTTTCTTTCCTAGCACTCATGGTGAAACAGGAAGATCACCAGGAGTTCAAGGCCAGCCTAAGCTATCAACCCTGTCTCAAAAAGAAGGTTGGGGGAGCTGGAGAGATGGCTCAGTGGTTAAGAGCACTGGTTATTCTTGCAGAGGACCTGGTTCAGTTCCCAGCACCTACATGAAAGCTAACAACCATCCATAACTCCAGTTCCAGAGGCTCCAACACCCTTTTCTGGCCTCCTTGGGTACTGCATGACATGGGGGCACTTACATACATACAGGCAAAACACTCATAACACATAAAATAAAACTTGGCAGTGTCTTTCACCTGGTGCTGACTTTAGAGACAGGAAAGATGCAAAAGTTAAGAAGTCACTGGTTCTTCCTCCCCAGTTTCAGAGAGCCAGGCAGTGTTCAGCAGGAGCATCCCTCAAAGAAGGCCCTGACAGTCCATTTTGTGAAGCTGTGACAGTGAAGCTTAGTTGGTTGTAGAGACCCCCAAGATGTTCAAGATGTCAGAGCAGTGAGACATCTGCCAAGGAGAACTGCATATAGGGAATGGTACCAGCCCAAGAGAGAGATGTGTGCTGCATGCAGCAAAGCTAGAAGGGCTGAGCCAATTAGTCCTTCAGAAGTAAAGGCCCAGAATTTGGACATGGAGCTACTGGATTTGGTGTTTGCCCTGCTGGTTTTAGGTCTTGTTTTGGTCTGGTATTTCCTTACTATACCTCTATTTCTCCCTTTTGGAATGGGAATATATATTCTGTTCCACTGTATGTTGGGAGTATGTAATTTGTCTTTTGATTTTTTTAAAAACTATTTTTTAAAAATTAATTAATTAATTTATTTATTTTTTGGTGTTTTTGAGACAGGATCTCCCTGCAGCCCCAGCTGGCCTGGAACTCACTATGTAGACCAGGCTGGCCTTGAACTCACAGAGATCTGCCTGCCTCTGCCTCCCAAGTGCTGGGACTACAGGTGTGCGCCACCACGCCTAGCTTATTTATTATTTTTATCTTATATGTATGAATGTATTGCCTGCATGCAAGTACACCCACATTGTGCAATGTCCACAGAGGACAGAAGAGGTCATCAGATCCCCTGGAACTAGAGTTACAGACAGTTGTTAGCTGCCATGTGGGTGCTGGAATTCAAACCTGGGTCTTCTGCAAGAAAAGTCAGTGTTCTTAACCACTGAGCCATCTCTCTAGCCCCTGTCTTTTGCCTTTATAGGGGCTTACAGTGAAGAGATTGCCCTGAGTCTCAGTAGAGACTTTTTACTGTAGCCTTCTGTATTGAAACTAGAAAAGTTTATGGGGACTTTTAAGGTTGGACTAAATGCGTTTTGCATTATATATGGTCATGAGCCTATTAAGGCCAGGGGGTGGAATGTAGTGGTCTAAATGAGACTATCCCATGTAGGCTCCAAATAGTTGAACATTTTATTCCCAGTTGGTGGCACTGTTTTGGGGGGTCTTAAAAGGCGTGGCCTTGCTGGAGGAAGCAGTTCACTAGGTGTGGGCTTAGAGCGTTCCTAAGTCTTGCTGGATTTTCCAGTCACTCTCTGCTTCCTGTGCCTGCATGAAGAAGTGAGAGCTTAGCTTCTGCTCCTACCTACTCTAACCACCTCTGCTGTCATGCCTCCCTGCCATGTTGGACTCTTGCCTCTTTTGGAACCGTAAGCTAAATAAACTCTTCCTTTTATAAAAGAGTTAAAATAGTAAAAATAAATCTAAATAAAAGGATAGTAAGCAATTCAGAATCTCAAACCCCACTTCCAGTGCTCGAAGAATAAAGCCCAGGAGCATGTTTCACCAAATTCCAGGTCCTACTGACACATGCCAAATTTGAGAATCCATAGACTAGAATTCTAAGTAACATTCATTCTTAAAATATTTTATTTATTATTTTTTATGTGTATGAGTGTTTAGCCTGCATGTGTGGAAGTGTATTCATCTTGTGTAGTATCTGTGGAGGTCAGAAGAGGGCACTGGATCCCCTGGAACTGGAGTTATAGATGGCTGTTAGCTGCCATGTGAGTGCTAGGAACCAAACCCAGGTTCTCTGCAAGATCAGCTGGTGCTCTTAATCACTGAGCCATCTCTCCAGTCCCCTAAGTTATATTCTTAAAAAGAGTTAACAGGGGTTAGGCATGGTAGGGCATGCCTTTAATTCCAGCACTCAGGTAGCAGAGGCAGATGGATCACTTGTGAGTTCAAGACCAACCTGATCTACATAGTAAGTTCTAAGCCAACTAGGGCTACAGGGAGACCCTGTCTCAAAAAAAAAAAAGTTAATAGGATAGAGGTACAGTTCTGTGGTACTTGCTGAGTATCAATGAGACCCCAGATCCAATCATATCTCTCTCTCTCTCTCTCACACACACACACACACACACACATACATACACACACACACACAAAATAGCATTTTACAGCAAGCATCATTATTGAGTGCCTTATCGTAAGAATTAAGTTAGGAGGAGTTTCAAATATATATCATTTTGTTCTTTTGGTGTTGGGATTTAAGGCATGTGCCACCACACTCAGCTTTATCATTTGGTTCTTAAGGAACCCTTGATATTATCCCTATTCTTTTTGGAGACAAGATCTCTATATTACTATACCGACCAGGCTAATAACAAACTCCAGATCCTACTTCCTCGTCTCCTATACGCTAGGATTACAAATATATGCTACCTCCTTAGTGCAGAATTCAGATCTAGATTGGAAAAATGGCTTAGCAGTTAAGAGTACTATGTGCTCTTGCAGAAGACCCAGGTTCAGATTCCAGCACCCACATGGTGGCTAACAATCATCTATAACTCCAATTCTAGGGGATCCGATGCCCTCTTCTAGCCTCCATGGGCATTGCATTACATGGGTGCACTTACATACATGCAGACAATACACTCACTCATCCACATAAAAAATAAACAAAAAAAAAGAACATGTACTGCTCTTGCAGAGGACCTGAGTTCCATTCCCAGCACCCACATCCAGCAGCTCACAACTGCCTGTAATTCCAGCTCTAGGGGATCCAGTGCCTCCAAGAATACCTACACTCAGCTACACAGATACACATTCATACACATAATTAAATAATAAAAACAACAAAAAGAACTCTGTAATCCTTAGAACAGACTCACAGGATTAAGCTTCGTTTTCTCTCCCAGTCCCTCTTCTTCTGGTAACTTTGAATGCATCCAGTAGAATCGGAAATCAGTCTGCCACAGATAAGGTTAAACAGATGAAATCCTGTTTATCTCAAACTCCAATATGAATGAAACACCCCATAACCACCTGACTTATAAAGCTCTAAGTCCTGCATTTCCATTTATAACCATAACATTAAGTTTATCAAATTGGGTGTGGTAGAGTGTACCTTTAATCCTAGCACTTTGGAGGCAGAGGCAGGTAAGTCTCTGTGAGATTGAGGTCAGCCTGGTCTATACCAAGTTCCATGCCAGCTGGGGCTGTAGGAAGATCCTGTCTCAAAAAAAAAAAAAAAAAAGAAGTTTATCAAATCTTTCAGTATTTTAAAATATCTTGAAAAAAGTCTACTTTATTTTCAGGTTCAATAGGAAGAACTTAACATCCATGAAGATCCACCTGCCTGTGCTTCCTGAGTGCTGGGATTAAAGGTATATGCCACCATATCCAGTCATGTTTAGAAATGTAATGTAGGGAAGTGGCTATAGAAAGAAGCAGTCTAGAGCTAGACACAGTAGCACATGCTTGTAATATCCTAAGAGCAAGTTTTGAAATTTGAGGCTTTGTTTCATACCAAGCATGCTCTGGCATTTCGGGGTGAAGGAGGAGGAGTGAAGAAGTCTATTTGATGATGTCTTATATTCTGCTTGCTTTTCATGCTGCTGCCTGCATAAGATGGCATGCTCCTTATCCTACAATCTTCCTTGCCAGCAATCCTCCCATTCTCTGGAGAGGTGAGGGGGTGGCCACAGCTGCGAACATATTCCCAGTCTGTATCTCTGTTGTTTCTTTCCTTCTCTTAAGAACTGCTATATACTTACCTTCATTCCTCCTATTTATTTTTAAAACTAAGCTAAATACCCTCAAAGACGCATGGAGCATTAGATAATGTTCTTGACTACCACATCCTGTACACACCAAGAAGTTGGTCACGTACCAAACCCACATGCTGAGCCACCTTCCCAGGAGGAAAGAAGACAGGAAAGACGTGAAAAGACTATCAGTTCTTACCTGGCAGTCGTAAAAAGGGTGTCCCCGCCAGCACATTACATCCAGAACATAGTAGGTCTGGTTCACCTCGCTGTAAATGCAGTCCAGAATAGTGTAGTCTATAAACACAGGAAGAAAGTCAGGATAGAACTTGGCTTCTAGCCAGGGTTCCATCCATCAGGTAGTACGGAGCCCCATTTTAGAGGCTAAATCAAACAATCCACAGGGCTTACACTGTCAACACTAAAGGTGAAAGGGTCAAGCTAGGTGTGATGGTGTACACCTTAAATCCCATCCCAGCACTCAGGAGGTCTACATAGCCAAGTTCCAGGCCAGCTGGGGTCACAGAAAGATACTGTCTTTTTGAGACAGTGTCTCCCCGTAGCCCCAGCTGGCCTGGAACTCACTATGTAGACCAGGCTGGCCTTGAACTCCTAGAGATCCACTTGCCTCTGCCTCCCAAGTGCTGGGACTAAAGGCATGCGCCACCACACTGGGCTTGAGACCCTTTCTTTAAAAAAAAAAAAGATGAAGGACTCATTAAAGAAAGAGTTCTACAGCTGGGCATGGTGATGCATGCCCTTAATCCCAGCACTTGGGAGGCAGAGGAAGGCAGATTTTTGTGAGTGCGAGGCCAGCCTGGTCTATCTAGCAAGTTCCAGGTTAGCTGGGGCTACAGGGAAACCTGTCTCAAAAAATACCAAAAAAAAAAAAAAGAGAGATACTTTATCCAAGTAGGAATTTGGAACAAACTGAACTTTTATTGACTTTAAAGAACCCCAGCTTTTAGGTATAAGTGTTTTGCCTGCATATAGGTAAGTGTACCCATGCCTGCAATGCCTGCAGAGGTCAGAAATGGAGTTCTGGACAGTTGTGAGCCATCATGTGGGTGCTGGGAACAGAACCTAGGTCCTCTGCAAGAGCAGCTAGTGCTTCTAACCATTTGTTTTGAGAGAAATCCTAGGCTAACCTTGAATTCACTATGTAGCTGAAGATGACTTTGAAAACAAGACGGGGACTCACTCTGTAGCCCAGGCTAGCCTCAAACTTATGGCATGCCTACTATCCTCAGTGTCCTGAGTGCTGGGACTATAGGCATATGTTACCACTCTTGGTTAGTGTATGTGTGTGTGTGTGTGTGTGTGTGTGTGTGAGAGAGAGAGAGAGAGAGAGAGAGAGGGGGAGAGAGAGAGAGAGAGAGAGAGAGAGAGAGAGAGAGAGAGGGAGGGAAGGGGTTGCACATTAGCCTTCTGAATGACTGGACACAACTACATATGGCTTACAATTCTTGTTAAATTCTTATTGTAGGTACTGTGTTATGTAGGGAATATTAAGTAGTCTTTTACTTCAAGGAAATAGAGATAAGATAACCACAGAGACAAGAGCTGAATTATATAACATAAACCATGAGCAACTGGAGTTCCAGAAAGAGAAAACAGGAGCAGAGGAAATGCTTCAAGAAAACATGCCTGTAATCCCAACACTAGGTAGGCTGAAGCAGGAGGATCAGGAATTAAAAGTCAGCCTTAGCTACATAGCCAGCCTTGGCCAAATGAGACAAACAAAAGCTAACACAGAAGGCTAGCCTCATTACAGAGGATAGGAGGAGCTCTCAAAGGAGCCTTAGCTGGCAGAGAATAGAGCAGGGATTGAGGCCCTGCCAATTCCACCCAAAACAACCATGGGTAAGTTAACCTCTACAACCCTAATAATTTTATTGAGGTCAGGTGGGAGGAATAAGCTGAGGGTTAGGACAATGACAAAGGAGAAATGGCATTGAGCTGGGAAGCCCCAGAAAGTGCTCACTATACCATAACACTCAGCAAATCTCTCAGGTACCTTTACTGAAAAAATTGCATATGTGATTTTTGTAATGAAAGTCCAAAGGCATGATGACCTTAATCTGGAGATGTACTGCCCAGTGGGCCTTACAGGGTTGTATATATTATGCAACGGAGGGGACATGACCTTGAAGGTGAGGACATAAATCTAAGGGACAGGACAGGATAATGTGTGTGCATAATTTCAAATTTATGTTTTCAAAATCAAGGTGGAAGTTGAAGATCAGCAGCCTGGGCTGCAAAGTGCTCAAGCAGAGGGACACAGAGATGGGTCAGCAGAGATTCCTGTTCTAGATCAACTACCTTGAGATCACCAAGGGCATCACAGTCCTCTACCATCACATCTGCCTATAAAGAGAACTGATTCCCCCAGACTAGCACAGTATGTCTGCTCATGGCATCCAAGCCCTAAGAAGCCTTAAGGTGCTAAACAGAGAGACTGACAAAGTCAAGTCTCAGATCTACTAGTTTCATATTATCTCAAGAAAAAAAAAAAAAAACCAGGGCACCGAGGATGTAGTTCACTGGTAGCATACTTGCCTAGGATTCCTGAGGCTCCTTTAAATATATTTTTAAAAATTTATTATTATTATGTGCATATGAGTGCAAGAGGGCATGTACTATGGCACATGTATGACGATCAGAGGACAACTCTCAAGTTGGCTCTCTTCTTTCACTGAAGGTTCTAGGGATCAACTCAGGTCATCAGGTCAAATACTTTTACCTACTGATCCATCTGGCTGGCCTCTGAGGCTCTGTGATGGAGCCCCAGCACTGGGAGAGAAAAAAAAAAGGAGATCAAAAAACCAAACATAGCTGGGCATGGTGGCGCATGCCTTTAATCATAGCACTTGGGAGGCAGAGGTAGGCGGATTTTTGTGAGTTCAAGGTCAGCCTGGTCTACATAGTGAGTTCCAGGACAGCTGGGGCTACAGGGAGACCCTGTCTCAAAAAGACAAAAAAAAAAAACAACAACAACAAAAAACCCACAACAAAAAAAAAACAAACAAAAAAACCAAATAGTTATCTTGTGTAGGTACCTTTGGCTGTTGTTGAGTTTCTCCTGTTGCCTCCTGGCAGAAGGGAAGAAAACCTATTGACACAGTAACCACTCTTGGTGTAGGCACTGGTTGAACCCTGTAGAAAGAAAGCTACCATTCTCATTAGGCATCCACAGGTATCCTTGACTCTTGCTTCTTCATGCTGTAGAGTTGTCATCAGCCCAAAGATGGCTTGCAACAAATCCTTCATGTAAGAAAGGACTGCAAGGCTCACTCCAGGCACAGCTGCTATGGCAGATGAGGAAATAGGAAGCAAACAATCCCTTTTACCACAGACCAGGCCTCTGCACAGGAGGCTGTTACTCACCCTAGAGGCCACAATAAGAGCTCTTTTCCCAACAGGGCATACAACCACAATCCATTCTTGCCCCAAATCTGAAGGGATGTCAATTAACCACTCAGAGAGCATCAACTGGGAACATAAAAATAGTGTTAAAAGATCAGTAGGGGTGTAACATTACAAGAACAAAGTATTCACATTATATATAATACAAATACAGGTAAAAGTTGAGGACAGAGGAACTTCCACCCCAGGTGCTCTCATCAAGCAAGCTGGTCTCCTGCACAACTGACTGATGGAGGCCACTTACTAGGAACTTGGTATCTTTTCTTATAATCACCATCTGCATTCAAACCCTACTTACTCCCTCATCTCCAGGAACAGATAACGGGCCTTCTTCTTTCCTTATTTTGCCCACTGCCTATCAACATAACTATTATGTTCCAGGGCTACACCCCAGGAGTTAAAAAGGTTCTTCATCTTGAGATGTGCTCAGACTAGATCATCATTTCCTAAATTGACATCCCAAGTACTATGTTAAAAGATATTAGGAAGCAGAGGCAGGCGTGGTGGCGCATGTCTTTAATCCCAGCACTTGGGAGGCAGAGGTAGGTGGATCTCTGTGAGTTCAAGGCCAGCCTGGTCTACATAGTGAGTTCCAGGCCAGTTGGGGCTACAGGGAGACCCTGTCTCAAAAAGATCCCCCCCCCAAAAAAAAGAGAGAGAGAGAAAAAAAAATCTCCAACTCTGTTTCATACTGATTCATCCTGAAATTGCTTTCTGAGTCAAAGTCACCAGTCAGGCTTTAGCTGAGTGGAGGTCTCTGAAAAGAACTCCTCGGCTGCAGTAGGAGAACAGCATGGGACAACATCTCTGGTTTGTTACACGAACACTGACAGGTTCCATTCCTAAATCCAAAATAGGTGGAGCTGGGATGTAGCTTAGTGATACAAAGCTTGCCTTGTAAATTCTCCATAGGTCTGGGTTCAAAACTCAGCATTGAAAAAGAAAAAAAGGGGGCTGGAGAGATGGCTCAGCGGTTAAGATCACTGACTGTTCTTGCAGAAGACCCAGGTTCAAATCCCAGCACCCACGTGGCAGCTAACAACTGTCCATAACTCCAGTTCCAGGGATCCGACAGCCTCTTCTTCCTCTGTGGGCATTGCACGACACGGGTGCACTTACCTACATGCAGGCAATACACACATACACATAAAATAAAAATAATAAATAAAATATTTTTGAAAAAGAAAAAAAGAAAGAAAAAAAAAGGAAAGGAGAATGGGAGGAAGGAAAAGAAAATGAAGGCAGGGAAGATGACTAAATGAGTAGAAGTACTTGCCATGCAAGCCTGGAGAACCAAGTCCTAAAGTCCCAAAGCTGTCCTCTAACCTCCACACATGTGCAACTCACACTCACACGCACACCCGCCATACACAAATAATAACAAAATAAAGTCTCAAAAAGAAAGAAAATAAATGGATAAAGGCTATGAACAGACATTTCTCACAGCGTATGCACAAATGGCCAGTAAGCATATAGGAGTGAGGCTGAGGAGTAGGGTATGACACAAGCCTGTAATCCTTGCACTCTAAGATGCAGAAGCAGATCACAAGTTCGAGACCAGGGTGGATAAGTCTAGACTGTGTAGCAAAAAAACAAAAAGTCAGACAAAAATAATAAGGTACTGGCAGATGTGGAGAAGCTGGACCCTTTATACATTGTTGATAGAAACAAAAGGAAGCATTCACTTTTCAAAACAATATGGGGAAAAATAGTGTAGCAGTTCCTCAAAATATTCCTCAAAGCAGTTACCATATGACCAGGCATGGTGGTACAGGCCTTTAATCCCAGCACTCTGGAGGCATAGGCAGGTGGATCTCTGTGAGTTCCAGGCCAGCTAGGGCTATAGGGAGGACTTCTCGAAAAAAACAACAACAACAACAAAACAAACAAAAAAATACCCACAAAAAACTCCCCAGCTACCTTATGCCTCAACAATCTCATTTCTAGGTGTATGCTCAAAAAAGAAATTAAATCAAAGTGGCACACACCTGTAAATCCAGCACCAGGGACACTAAGGCAGGAAGGCAGGAGGATAATGAGCTCAAAGCTACTCTGGGTTACAAACATAGACCATGTTTAAAAAAACAAATGAAATGAAAAGAAAGGGGCAGAGGAATGGTTCCGTGGATAAAGCACTTGCTTACAATTGTGAAGACTGGTATTTGGATCACTAGTACACATATAAAAGCCTAGCAGACACAGTAGTGCCCCTGTAATCCCAGGTGAGCTGACTCAGTGGGCAAAGGCACTACCTACCAAGCCTGTTGATTTGAGGTCCATCCCCAGAACTCACATGGTAGAAAAGAGAGAACTCCTGTATGTTGTCCTCTGACCTCCACAAGTGTGTTGCATGAACGTATCAATATACACACACACGCACACACACACACACACACACACACACAGGATCATCTGTAGCATTATTCATAATAGTCAAAAAGTAGAAGCAACCCAAAAGGGCATTAATTGAGGAATAAACAACATGTTTCTTTAACAGACTGTTAGTCACAATAAACAGGACTGGGGATGGAGACATGGCTCAGTGATCAAGAACACTTGCTGTTCTTCCAAAGGACCTGGGTTCAATTCCTAGCACCCACACGGCAGCTAATAATCGTCTGTAACTCCAGTTCCAGGGGATGTATGTGACACCTTCTTCTGGCCTCTGTGGGGCACTGCACTCATGTGGTGCACTTACATACATGTAGGCAAAACACTCATTCACATAAAACAAAAATAATAATAAATAAAAGATCATAGTGAGTTCCAGGTCATCCAAGGCTACAGAGAGACTCTCTCTCAAAAGACAAAGGCTTGAGTTATAGTTCAGTGATAGAGCATTTGCCTAGCACATACAAGGCCATGGGTACATTCCCTAAAAAAAGAAGGGATGAGGGCATAGAATCTAGATCAGTTCCTTAGGAACTTTGGCAGCCTCTGATTAATAGCATGGGCTGATAGCACCAAATCATTACCCACAGACTCCATCAGTGTTTACAATCACCCATCAGTACTATGAGCCAGCTCTACTCCCATCCCATTCACTCTACAAATACATTAGCAATTCCTAGTCCTTTGCTCTGCCAATCCTCCTTTTTATATAGCGACATTTATTTCAGTGGGCTTTGACCATATTGTGGAGGGTGCAGAGGTAGGTGGTTCTAGTTTTCCCTGGACCACTCACCTGATTAGCATAGCGTTTTGGTAACTTCTTGCCAGTGTCAATGTCCATGTCTTCTTCATCTTTCTTATCTTCTTCACTCTCCATTCCTGTCCAGTCATTTTCAGCCAATCTTCTGGCATGGTTCACATAATCCAACCGCTTGCTGGAGGAGAAAAAGGGTAAGGGTAGGTCTATAAATCCTGTACAAAGATATTCTGTACTGTGAAAGATATCATTCAATCCAAAGACACCAATTTTGGAAACAACTAGTGGATTCTGGTGGGTGTAAAAAATAATGGAATTAGGCTGGGTGTGGTGGGTGCATACCTTTAATCTCAGCACTTGGGAGGCAGAGGCAGGCGGATCTATGAGTTCGAAGCCAGCCTGGTCTACATAGTAAGTTCTAGGCCAGCTGGGGCTACAGAGAGGCCCTGCCTTAAAAAAAAAAAAAGAGAGAGAGAGAGAGATAAAGAAAAAGAAAAAAAATAATGGAATTGCAGGGCTGTAAAGATGGTTCAGTGATGAAAAGCACTGGCTGCTCTTGTAGAGGACCCAAGTTCAGCTCCCATCACCCATATGGCAACTAACAACCATCTATAACTCCAGTTCTGGAGGCTCCAATACCCTCTTCTGGCCTTTGCAGGTACCAGGCACATACATGGTGTACATACATACATGCAGCCCAGCACACATACACATAAAAATAAAATCGTTTAAAACAAAATAATGGAATTTTCTTTGCAAGGCTAAATTAGTGACTGCCTCCTCAGAGATCTGAAATAGAGAACCCCTTCTGAATATACTCAGCCTTCCTCAGTTCCCTAAGAATGGACAAAGTAAGATACTTATTCTTAAAGGAATTTCCAGAATTCACTAGCTGGATAAGCTGAGCCTCTCTTACCCACCACGACCCAGGTGAGAATGGACATTTATTTCTAGCCTAGCAGACTCATCAAAGGCCCCAGGGACAGGAGGGAAGAACACTAAATGAAGTGAGAAGTCCAAAACATGAACAGCTTCTGGGGCTTTCCACTTCAGACAGCTTTCTAGTAAGTCAGGCCTTCTTGTCTGACTTTCAAAAGAGGCTATTTAGTTTACAACTTAATATTTTCTGCTGGTTTACCTTTACTCACCACCCATCCCAATGGGATTTGAACCTAGGGCCTTGTGCATGACAGGCAAACACTCTACCAGTGAACAATATCCTCAGTCCTCTTTTTACTTTTTATTTGAGACGTTTCACTAAGTTGTTCAGACTGGCCTTGAACGCACCCTATAGACCAGACAGGCACTGAACTCTCCTTGCCATAGTAGCTAGGATTACAGTCTTCTGAGTAGCTGGGATTACAAGACTAGATCACCAGATCTGGCTTTTTTATTTTTTTTTGCTTTGTTTGGGGTTTTTTAAATTGTTGAGACAGGGTCTTTCTGTAGTACCAGCTGTCCTCCAAAGTGCTGGGACCAAAGGCATGCCACACCATACCTGGCTATTTTGTTTTTGAAACATAGTCTCATGCAGCCTAGGCTAGCCTCAAACTTGCTATGTACCCAAAGATGACACTAAACAACTTCTCAAAAAATTTTAAATTATTTCTGTTTAAGTGTGTGTGTGTGTGTGTGTGTGTGTGTGTGTGTGTGCGTGTGTGTGTTTGTGTACGCACCATATGTGGGTGGGTGATGGCAGAGGCCAGAAGAGGACATTGGATACCCTGAAGCTGGAGATACAGGTAGTTGTGAGCTGCCTGACATGGGTGCTGGGAAGCAAACTCAGGTCCTCAGGGAAGAACAGCAAGCACTCTTAACCACTGAGCTATCTCTCCAGCCCTGAAACTGAACTTCTGATCCTTCTGCCTCTATCTCTCCTGAATGCGGGGATTATAGATGTACATCACCAGGCTAGTGCCATTTACTTATTAAAAATAACATATCCTATACCAGAGTGGTGGCGCACCTCTTTACTCCTTTAGTACTTGGGAGGCAGAGACAGGCAGATCTCTGTGAATTCAAGGCCAGCCCGGTCTACATAGTGAGTTACAGGCTAGCCAGGGCTACAGTGAGACCCTATCTCCAAAAAATTGAAAAACAAAAACAGAAACAAAAAATACATTCTAGTAAGTTGGGGAAAACTATGAAGGAAGAAAGAACTTTTTCGAACTTGTTACCTGTTACAAATTAAGTAGAAATACCATGTATCTTCCTGCACAATTTGCAAAAAAACTAAGGCAAGAATAAAAACACTAACACTGTGAAACCAACACAGCTATATGTACATGTATGTGGGGCATGAATATGCCATAACACATGCATGGAAGTCAGAGGACAACTTGCTCAGGAGTTGGTTCTCTCTTTCCTCCACTGGGTCCAAGGGATTGAATGAAGGTCCTCAGGTTTGACAGCAAGTACTTTCTTCCAACTGAGCCATTTTACCAGACCAGGCTGGCCTGAACTTATTATGTAGACCAGGCTGGTCTCAAACTCAGAGAAATCTGTCTGCCTCTGCCTCTTGAGTAGTAGGATTAAAGGCATATACCAGCATACCCCACAGCTAATTTCTTCTTTATACACACACACACACACACACACACACACACACACACACACATTTTTTGGTCTTTTTTGTTAAATATTTTATTATTTTTTAATTTTATGTGCATGCATGTATTGCCTGTAGGTAAGTGCACCCATGTCGTGCAATGCCTGAGGAGGACAGAAGAGCCTGTCAGATCCCCTGGAACTGGAGTTACAGACAGTTGTTAGCTGCCATGTGGGTGCTGGGATTCAAACCCGGGTCTTCTGCAGGAACAGCCAGTGTTCTTAACTGCTAAGCCACCTCTCCAGCCCCTTTTTTGGTCTTTTTAAGACAGGGTCTCTCTGTAGCTCCAGCTGACTTGGAATTTGCTATGTAGACCAGGCTGGCCTTGAACTTACAGAGATCCACCTGCCTCTGCCTCCCAAGTCAGTTTTTATATATATATATATATATTTTTTTTTTTTTTTTTTGGGGGGGGGGTCTTTTTGAGACAGGGTTTCCCTTTAGCCCCCGCTGTCCTGGAAGCACTATGTAGACCAGGCCGGCCTTGAACTCACAGACATCCGCCTGCCTCTGCCTCCCAAGTGCTGGGATTAAAGGCGTGTGCCACCAAGCCCGGCTAGTTTAGTTTTATATATTTTTAATTTTGTGTGTACATGTGTTTTACCTGCAAGTATGTAAGTATACCACATGTGTACAGTGTAAATGGAGGCCAGAAGAGGGAGCCAGATCCTTTGAAACTGATGTTACAGATGGTTGCCAGTTACTATGTGGATGCTGTGAACCAAAGCTGGGTCCTTTGCAAGAGCAGCAAGTACCCTGAACCACTGAACCATCTCTTCAGTCCCTACTGATTTCTTCGTACATGCACGTTTGTGCACATTCCCACAAAGTTGCATACCAGAGAACTATGAAAGCACAATGGTCTTTCATTTAAAAGATGGAAGAGACCTCATATACTTTCTACACGTGAAGAAGAATGTATGTCCATAGTTATTTCTTAGCACTGTTTGTAATCATACAAGAAGGAAACTATACAAGTGCCCAGTAGAAGAGGACTAGTTAGGTGACATTGTGAACCAACCATTTAATAGAATATCTGACACCATAAAAAAGAGATGATGTAGGCTGGGCGTGGTGGCGGGAGCCTTTAGTCACAGCACTCAGGAGGCAGAGGCAGGCAGATCTCTGTGACTTCAAGGCCAGCCTGATCTACAAAGTGAGCTCCAGGCAGCTGGAGCTACAGGAAGACCCTGTCTCAAAAAAAAAAAAAAAAAAGAGATGATGTGTCTGGGGATAGAGTTCAGAGGTTCCCCCCCATATACTCTTCCATGTATTTTAAGTGATATGAATATATTACCTATTTGAAAATAACAAATTACAATTGAAAACAGAACAGGAAAGGGAATATAACCTATAAACAACCTAGAAATCATAAAGAACCATATGTGTTAAACTCATCTACTGACATAGCACTGGGCAAAAAAAAAAAATGCAGACTTGGGATTAGTACAGCTGTTAACAGTTTTTTAAATTCCTAATTCCTTCATTTCTGACACAAAAGAGGTCAATGCTGCATTCAGGAAAAAAAAGGGCAGGCCCTGTCATCCCAGCAGGGCAGCCTCAAACACGCCTAACCTGCTTTTTTCCTGTTTGCTTATTTTGGCATTTGGCATTAAGACTATGGAGACATTTCCTCTGATTCCCTATGGAATTGTCTTCATCTCCCAAGGACACTACTACACATCTGGGCTAAACGCAGATGGGAAGATCACACCAAGACCAGAATTCAAAGTGAGAAGCTACACATAATCAATCCAGGGAATGTTGGGAGTGGAAGTCTAGGTGTGGCTTTCCCAAATCCCTAAATTGCAAAGTTCAGTACTGATGCCAGGAAAAACAGAAAAATTTAACCAAATAATTGAGCTTTTGCTTACAAATTGCAATCTCCCTTCTTCTTTTCTTTTCCTAAACTGTAGGGATAAAGGAAATTACCTGTGACAGATCTATCCACTGAACATTGAGGGAGGGGATCGACCTTCCTGTGAAGGGGGAATTGAATGGCTCCTAGCTCCCAGCCAGGAGAAAGCAGCCAAGGAGTTAAAGCACACTTACGATTTCTGAAGTTCTAGTAATAGGCGCCTCCGCTCACTTTGCTCCATGCAACTGTACTTGGACTTGTACTGGGACAGGCGGGGGTGTGGGGCAGCTGTGCTATTCAGTTCTTGAGAAACAGAAAAGCTACTAGCTAGGGCCTGACTCAGTTCTTCCATCTTCCCTATAAACAAAAACATAAAGAAAATGGTTCATTAATTCATTACATCCCATGATAATATGGCAGTTATGATGTAACTAAAAAAACCTCACTTAACCAAAAATTATAGTTGTTTCCATAAAACATAAATGTTACATATTAGCAATAATAATTTTTTTTTCGGTCTTTTTGAGACGGTCTCCCTGTAGCCCTCTGGCTGTCCTGGAACTCACTATGTAGACCAGGCTGGCCTTGAACTCACATAGATCCACCTGCCTCTGCCTCTGGAGTGCTGCAATTAAAGGTATGAGCCACCATTCCTGGCCAGCAATAATAATTTTATTTTCTACTAGAACTTCAATAATGTTGTTTGATAGCTGAGTGAATAAACCTAAACACCAATCACCAAATAAAGTCACCTTATGACTGACTTTTTCTGTTTCCCATCACCATTAGTACCCCCTAACATCCAGTAATGTGACCACGTATCTAATTTTTTCCCAAATAGTTCTAAAGATTCAACAGTCAAAAACAAATTAATTCTGATGGAAATTTTAGCCAATTACTTGTTTAATTCAATTCTATAATAAAGACCAACTTATATTAAGGAAATTTAACTCCCAGAGAAACACTGAGGCTCTTGGAGTAAGAGAAGAAGAACCAAAAAACTCAAACTTAGCAGTTACAGTCTCATTTTATAGCAGAAGAAAGGTTTTAATACTACTTCTCTGAGACTCATTTGGAAAAAAGCTGGAAGACAGGTGCAGCAGCTCGCCCTGTAATCTCAACACTTGCTAAGTGGAGGCAGGTATATAATAATATAAGGGGTTCAAGGCCATCCTTAGCTATAGTGTAAGCTTGTGGCTAGTCTGGGCTACAAGAGACCCTGCTTCAAAAAACAAACCAAAACCAAAACAACCATGGGGCTGGAAAGATGGCTCAGCAGTTAAAACCACTATGCTTACAGAGGACCTAGGTTCAATTCCCAGAACCCACATGGCAGCTAAGAACCATCCTTAACTCCAGTTCCAGGGGATTCAACTCCTTCTTTGATCTCTGTGGCATTACACAATATGGGTGCACTCACATACATGTAGGCAATACACTCACATACATAAAACAAAAATTACAAATAAAACATTTTTAAAAGAAAAAACAAAACAAAACAGGTAAACAAGTTGGGTATGGTGATGCACACCTTTGGTCCCAGCACTGGGAAGCAGAGGCAGGTGGATCTCTGTGAGAGCTTCAGGTCAGTAGGGGCTACAGGGACACCCTGGGTCTCAAAAAACAAAAACAAATAAGAACCCCAACAAACAAAAATAAGCTGAAATGTGGACAACTGCTTAAGAGGGAATACCAGCCACTCCAAAAGTGTCAAGGACTTCTAATTACCCAGGTGGGTCCTAATGAATGGGAATCAAAAAAAGGTGAATCTGTGTTTCATTAACACTTAAGAAAACAGGAACAACACTGGGTATGGTAGTACATGCATTTGAACCTAGTACTCAGGAGGCAGAAGCAGGTGGATCTCTGAGTTTGAGGTCAGCCTGTTCTATATACCAAGTTTCAGGTCAGCTGGGGCTACAAGGAGACCTACACTATTGGGTTAGCCTAACACTTCAATTCTTGTATAAATCAGAGGACATTATCAGTACCAAATGTTGGCCAGGTTCCAATGCTCTGAGCACCCAGAATCACAGGTTTGTTCTAGAGTCTCCATTTTAAAAAAATCAACTCTAAAGGCCTCTACTTGGCTAATGAGGTTTGTTTCTGTTGTTGAGACAAGGTCTTGCTATTTAGTCAAGGCTGGCATGGAACTTGGGATCTTCCTGCCTCTGTCTCAAAAGTGCTATATTAAAGAGTACAGACCTCAAGCTGGGTGTGGTGGCATACACTTTCAATCCCAGCACTCGGGAGGTAGAGGCAGGCGGATCTCTGCGAGTTTGAGACCAGCCTGGTCTCCACAGTGAATCCAGGACAGCTGGGGCTACAGGGAGACCCTGTCTCAAAAAGACAAAAAAA